GTCACTCCGTGGCAAAAAGACTATTTTAAGTGTAGCATAAAATGGAGGCACATACCATTTGCCTCTGAGGGGAATGGAAATCAGTTGATTTGAGGGTGTCACAATAAGCAAGGGAGTAAATCGTTTTTATATAGTTTGGGACTTTGCAAGTTACAGACCACATACCAAAGCGGCCGTTCCTCAACAAATAATGAAGTAAATGAATTTTCAATGTTGAAATCGCAAAACTCGCCCTTTTTACGCAGACTGGGAAGTTAGAATTACTAAACGAAGTACAGCACAACGAAGATAAAATATCAAAGAATCAACACATACCAACAATTATATCTCAAAAGTGAATATTGGTGGTGTATTTTAGGTCTAACCGGACAGGAAGTGGAAATTTGTTAGTACTCTAAATATCCAAACATATTTTAGTATGAGGTAGTAATTACGTATCAATTTCACGTTTTTGGTGATCAAAGTTCAAAGTAATTTTAAAACTGGATATTTATTATGAAATTTATATCATTATAAGGCAAGTCTTATATGGACATGATATACTGCAATCAACGATCGATTGGGCATATGTAACTTATTTTACGGCTCTGGTGATCCTGAAAAATAATTCTGCCAAATTAGAACTTTTAATAGCTACCTCCTCCAGTTATATGGGAGTTGCAATTGTCAAAATACGAATCATGTGTACAACAATTGTGTTGGGTGACCCTGAAAAGAAACCACCTCCTTAATTAAATATGTGTGAGAGTCTCAATTGATTATTCTGTCACAAAGACGTTCTTCTTTACAACTTTTAAAAAAGTCATATATGAAAAAAAAGTTGTGTGCACAGTTTCTGACGTTAAAGGTCACTCTTGTTTTTTATAAGCTGTGTGGCCGTCCACCTATCATACTGTAGTAGTATTCAGTGTTTTATTACGGCCTTGGCAAGACATTTTGACCTTCGGACTGTCGTCATATAACCTCTGCTTCATACACAACAAGAAAGCAGTGGTAAAATAAGCCTGGATTGTAGTATTCATTAGTTGCAAATGCACTCATCAGCGTCTCTCCATTTTATTACTGGGAACTAATCAATTAACTTCTAGACTGAGGCAGACGGTCAATGTCCTGTTTTAAAATTAATATTTTTTTACTCTGGAATGTGCAAATCATATCTTAAAAAATAGAGCAACATCGTTGTATTTGGCCATTTGGAGTGTAATAATAAAACCTATGAGGGTAAAACGCTTCGGACCTTACACACGGTTACTTCAAAGTTGCATTCATTCATTCATTCATTCATTCATTAATGAATTCATCTCATACAATGACTTTGTCTTTCTCGGGGTACTGTAATTTGTTCTCTCATGAAATGAACTATTCCATTACACAGCTATCACAAGTCTGCCATTCAATAGTATACAACAAGTGAAATTTACACGTACAATAAAGCAGTTGAGTGATTTTGTATTATTGTGAGTTATTTCATCGGGCGTTTTTTATATATTGATTTATTGGCCAATATAACTGTATAAACCAAGTTTTGTCATTTTACAGCAGCTGTTTTTCAACATGGCTAACGTTGCAGTCAACAGTCAATCTCCTGGCCTTTCACATAGAAATGTACCAGCTAAAGAACAAAATGCCAATGAAAAGGAGGAAACTTTTCGTATCAAAAAACGGTTAACGTTGGTTGATGGAATTCTTTTAGTCACAGGTATGGTTATTGGATCTGGTATTTTTATATCACCGAAGGGCGTTCTTTTCAACACTGGCTCAGTGGGGCTTGCTCTGGTGATCTGGGTTGTTTGTGGAATATTTTCTCTCATTGGTGGTCTGTGCTATGCAGAGCTGGGGACAACGATTCCCAAGTTTGGGGGAATAACCATTTACTTATATGAAGCGTTTGGGCCTTTTGTGGCATTCCTGCATCTTTGGATGATGATTGTCATAGAGAAACCCACCAGTGTAGCCATTATCATTCTAGTGTTCGCCGATTATATCTTATATCCCGTGTTTTATGAGTGTCAATCACAGTTGACAAGACAACTGTTGGCTGTGGCTGGTGTCCGTAAGTATGATTTTAATTATCTCACCCTACGGTTATATTTCAAGCTGTTAAATTTTATATAAATGTTTGATAATTTAGGACGACATTTCTCATGAAGCGTTGAACATTCATTGTGTTTACTGCGTCGACCCTGAAAAAATGTCTGTACTTGCGATACAGGTCATTCACAGCCACATACTGTAATAGTCGGTGTCTGTTGACGTATTATGTTGTGTTTTATTTTACTCAAATATTACTGCACGAATTATTCATGTAATTATATAGAATAAATTGAGATTAATACATCACATGTAGTATTGATTGAGGAATACACTGACTAGTATTTTTCTTGCCAAATTTTGCTTGGATATGTTGCTGTACTATTATGTTTTAGGGACCTCCTGCTATATTATTCGAACACTAGGAACATTATGATTAATAAAGTACATGTAGTATTAATCGATGAGCATGAATATTAATTATTTTGTATGTAATTTGTTGGTCACACTTTAATATATTTTGCACAACAAAACTTTATTACTAAATTTCACCTACAAAGAAAAGATCGTCTATTTTTTGTTTGTATCCATCCATTCATCATTTGTTATGTATTCTAGATTCCCAGAAAACAAGCTTGTAATAGTATGTTTTATTTGTTATTGCTATACATGTAAAACCATTGCACCTGTTTCAAAAACATAATCCATCACAATTCTGTTTACCTTGTTGGTTTGTAATTTCAGTTTTCCTGTCATTCGTGAATGTTTGTAGTGCACGATGGAGTGTTCGATTGAATAACTTCTTGTCATATTCTAAAATACTGGCCACCACGATTATTATTGTTACAGGATTAGTGTACCTAGCACAAGGTATGTATTTAATGTTACCATTTTTAGACCTAATTGCGTGACATGACATACCTTGGTGATTGTTTATGACTAATGTAATGTGGGAAGATTCAAAACTAGCACATGTACAGTCATAGACGAGTCACATGTAATCCGATATATTTCCATACTTATATACTGCTATATATTTGTTTTACACTGTTGACAATTATAAACTTGATAGTTTAGGGACTTGGTTGACTTGTTGAAAGAAACAATAATTAAATATAAAAAAGTGCAACCGCCTTCTTTTAAATAATTAATATGCACAACAGAACTAATTTCTCTGCTGTGAATATCTGCCAGAGTTTGTCTACATTAACGTATTATATAAATACGCACAGCATTACTCACTCATCAAACCAAATAAGTATTCATAAGTTTATGCAATGTTTTTGATTAAATACTGAAAGATGTTGTGTGAAACATTATTTTAGTAGTTAAAAGTACAAGCAGAATCACAGGCGATGATTTGAAGTTTCGTGTGATTCAGGACAATCCCTGAGGTCTGGGATTTTAAGATATTTAAGATTCTGGCCAATTCTTAATTTAATATCAAGTCAATTAAACAGCAATGGGGCGGTGTAACAAAAACACCTAATGTTTGCAACTAACCAGTCTGACCAGTGAACTGCACTGTGTCAGATTATATTGAACTTAGTATATTAGTACATTACATTCAGGAGATTAATCTAACTCGGAAAAAGAAAATTTGCCATCAGATCAACTGCTTCAATATCTTTTAATTTTCTATGGACAGGCCACGCAACAAACTTTGAGAAAAGTTTTGAAGGGAGTACCACATCTGCTGGAGACATTGCATTGGCGATGTATTCAGGTTTATGGGCCTATTCAGGATGGTAAGTTAGTTGTATATCAAACATGCTATATGGTCTATAAAATAATCTTGTAATAGTCTATGGTATAACATGCCATGCTTTAATTTTTGCTTTTATTATGAACGGCTAATGAACAATTATATTACTACAAAAAGCAATACTTATCTTATACAGAGAAATATTAATTCAAACTAATTAAACATTTGACAGTACTCAAATTTTCCCCCCAATTATATAACATTTAATAACCAATATGTATGTAAAGGTTATTCAAAGCGTCCCGATGGCAGAAGTTTCAAAAAACTTACATCCTTCTAGGCAATTCAAAAATTCTCTTGAAAGCACTTTTTTTGATAAATGCTCAGGGAAAAGGCGGGATTCTATTATGTATTTTCGCTCAGTTTTTTTTATAAGAATTGTAACGTATTGTAAAGTTTGGAATCAGTGCCATTTCTGTCCTAGATTGAACAAAGATTTCAATGAATATTCTGTCGCACATTTGCATATGCATTATATTTATGATATTTTTGTGTGATGAAACCAGCTTATTAGAAGTTGGTAGCCATCTGTTACATCAGCAGTGTTGTCAAGAGAAACTATGTAATTTCTGGTTGGACAAACCAATGGACTATGCACAACCGAAGCACATTTGAAGCATCAGGAGGACACTTTTGGGGGAATAGACGATCCTTTAGTGGCGAAAACATGCCCGAACATGCTGTGGAAGCACTCTCATGCCTTTTACAACTTGCCCACATTACCAAGAACAAATTGTTTTTGTCAGTCAGCTTTTCACATTTTTGTTGTCTGGGAAAGCAGCAGATATGCACCCTATCACACACATCACACCTGTGATGCTTCATGGGCCAGGGTAAAAACTACGAGTTTGCATTTGGTTCTTTGGGTTGAATGTTCCCCTAGTATTAACATAATTATTCAGAGTACAAATAGCATGGCTAAATCAATATGACTAATAGTCGATAAACATAAATCAACAACTCAGTACTAGTGGATTCTGCACAAAACCAGACAATGTTACTCTGGAACAGTGAGAAGAGAATAGAGTTAGTGAAAAATGGTTGCTGCAACTGCTAAAACTGTCTCTGGTGGGTTTATTGACTGAAGCATTAATCTAGTACTAGACGCATTATGTGAAAACTTCTTTCAAACTGCACTCCTCTTGCTTTTGGATGATGGCTCAGCAAAACAGAAGTCTTCTTGTCTTTATTATCACAGCACGCTGTGGACTGAGACATTGCTCTAGTGTTGCTATAAAGACTAGACTTGATGATGAAAAGTCAAGTCAAGCAGGATTTAATGCAACATCTCCCGGGAAAGGAGAACCAGAGAGAATTGATCGTTTGCCGAGACTTTGCCCTGTATTTTTATCACTATTTCCTATGAACATTAGCCGATAGCTAAAAAGTACTTACCCTAATACCTAATACGTATACAAACAAAAACATTCCAATTCCATTTTATAAAGCCTGCATTGATCAATCAACCAATGAACGAATCAAAAGAACGTATATAGCGGCAGAATACAGCTCGAGGCACTGTTTAATGACACTGAACAAAATGAGAATCTTCATATCTGACTGACAAAAACAGCAGATAAATGTTCAAATGTGACTAAACTAACATATTATTTTCTTCACAAAAATGTTGCTAGGACCTCTTTGAATGTTGTGTCAGAAGAAATGAAGAACGTGAAAAGGTATACGAGTTTGATTCCATGTTCTGCCTTGTGCAGATAACCAACTTATTTCATTATTCCGTTTCCTTTGCCATTGAGTTTGTCCCACAACATATAAACATGTCTCAGGCTGGTTGTATTCAAACTTTTTATTGACATTTCTTATGGCTGGAACATGTGATTTCGTTTTAGTTCAGAATGTATGAATGGCTGCCATTTTGTTTTTCCCATCTTTCATTTTTTTTTATAATTTGCAATGATTATGTTATTCTTCCAATTTCTGCCAAGGTCCTGTATGTTCAATACAGATTGTTAAACAAAGTAATGTTTTGTCAAATGATATCTCGGACATTGTCTCTCCTCCCCTTGCACAATTACACACAATACATATGCCACATAAACCAACATTCATTTGGGAAGTACATGTCTAGTCAGTGCAAACATGGTTCATTATGTGGCATTTAATCTATGTGTAGTCTTGTTCTCAAGCATACCCATTATTCATGATTAATCAATTGGATGAAAGACTAATATAAGTTTTATACGTGGCACATTAAGCATCAATTTTTTGTTTGGCATTCAGCCTGGACAAGAGTGAAACTGATATCATTAACCACTTTGCTACCACTATCGGTTAGGTAGTTTGTAATCCATAAGATTTCCTCATAATTATTTTTTGTATCACTTTTATAATTTTTACAGAAATTTGCCGTTAGCTGTTGTCTATGCTCTAATCATGATTACTTGTATTTATTTGCTGACTAACATCGCCTATTTCACTGTCATGTCTCCACAAGAGCTATTAGTGTCAAATGCAGTCGCAGTGGTGAGTATTTTACAATATGGCGGGACTCTTACCTTAAAGAAAGATCTCCCAGATATTAGCCTGATGAAAAACATGCCATTCTACAAATGTACTTGAACGGATAGGGAATAGGTGTTGACAGATGATATTGCTCTGTGATTAGTGTGTTAGTTACTACCTTTGGTACATACATGGTAACAAATTTAATTCATTTACAGACATTTGCCGATTCCACTTTAGGCGTGATGGCCTGGATTATGCCAGTATTTGTCGCCTTATCAACATTGGGTGCCACTAATGCGACTATCTTTGGTGCTGGAAGGTAATATAACAAGCATACATAACGCGAAATTTGTCAGTGATAGTAATCTCATTTTTGTTGGGTGTCACTAGTTTTACCATTATTATATTATTATTATTACTACTCGAACGTAATAGTTCTGCAGATTCGATATACATAATGATGAAGTCTGAGTACCTGTAATCTGGGATGTAGGATGAACATAAACCCTTCTTTGTTGTTTTAGCAAATGATGAATGAACGAAGATTGTATTATAAAAGTGCATTTTATATTTAAGCACCTTTTTATCAATCCAAAATTCTAAAACCTATATTTGAGTTGATTCACATCAATACACCATGGATTTACAGCTAACTACGAACATAAAATCCAAACCGTGGCATACCCACAAATTGATGCCATATATTG